AGGGAGGGGTCGCTATGAGTCGGGCCGACTCGATGGCACATAAAAACAACAACAACCAAGGTATCCTAGTAGTGCAATGGGTAAGCATTCTGCTGCTAATGAAGAGGTTGGTGGTTCAAACCCACCCAGCCGCTCTGTGCAAGAGAGACCTGGCAGTCTGCTTCCATAATGATTCCTGCCAAGAAAACCATACAGGACAGTTCTTCTCTGACACACAGGGTCAGTGTGAGCTGGAAAGGACTCAACAGCATCCAACAAAACCAACAACAGGGACCCTCCATCTTTCAAGCTGGGAACCTGAGTGTGAAGGAGCAGCCCCCCAGCCCCTCGACACACACACCTCCCCACTGGAGAGCAGGAAAGCGTAATTAAAAACAAAACGTCTAGGTTCCGTTCATTGGAGAAACAGCTCAACTCGTGTTTATTCTCAGCATAAACACACCTCTACTTATAATGAAAGGGCCGCTTTGCTTGCTGTCACTAACCTCTTTTGGAAGCCAGACTCTTGGCCGCCGCTGGCTGACTCATCATGCAATTCCGGTGTGGCGACTTCGCACAGAACCCTTTCCCAATCAGCGTTACCTAGCAACCAGCCCAGGAACTTTGCAGCCAGGAGATGAAGCCCAGTGAGCACCATAAAGAAACATCCGAGAAGCCGTGTCACTTCAAGGCTGCTGGGTAAAGGGGTACACAGAGGAAGCGCGGGGCTCACACACCACGCCGGGACACACAGCAGAGACCAAAGGGGCCTGCCGAGCCTCGCCGCTTCAACACCTGAAGGCAGGGTTTCTGCGGGTCACATACGGAGGGAGGAAGAAGCAAGGAAACGGCTGGGCAGGGAGCCACGGCCCTGCCCCTCTAGACAGGACGTTTCCGCAGGCGCCAGGGAGGGCCATCAGGCATTCATCCTAAGCACACCCACTTTCCTGCACGTCACCCCACCTTCAGAAAGAAGCTTCAACCCTTGACCGGCTGATGCCTCCAACCACAAGGCCTGCCGCATCACGTACGTGCAGTCAGAGAAACACAGCTGAGCGGGAAAAAGAAAAAAAAAAAACAGACTGAGAGAACATTCTAGAACATTCCAGGACATTCCAGGATGGTGGGCATCCAGCACCTGTGGTAGACAGCCCATACCTTTCACCATTTCCAACAGGCACCAGCCCTCCTGATCCCACCTGGCACCCATAAAGGTTCAAAACTTGGTGTGCAGCAGTCCCCAGGGTACAAACGTCCCACTTACAGACCACTCGTACTCGGCCTGTAATGTTATGTAAATTTGCCCTCACTTAGAACGACTGAACCAACCTGACACCAATTCTTCTTCACAGTCCCCTTCTCTTGCTGCACATGCAGCTTTTCAATCATTGACAAAGCTTCGAGACTTTTCTTGCACTAAAGTAAAACTAGGAGCTCTGGTAGCATAGTGCCTAAGGCACTTTACAGCTGACCAGAAGGCTGGCGGTTCAAACTCACCAGCCACTCCTCGGAAGGAAGGTTGGGCAATCTACTTCCATAGTGATACCATCTCGGAAAACCAAGGAGGGGTCGCTATGAGTCGGGTCTGACTCGACAGCTCATAACAACAACAACAAAGTAAAACTAAATAAGAACTGCATGTCCCCATGTTTAAAGCGAACCTCAGTGATTCCAACACCGGCGGCCCCAGAGCACAGCTGGAGAATTGGCACTTTAGGAGGCTCCCACACACGCCCGCAGCCGGAAGCCCAGCACGCGTCCTTCGGGTCAGAACGGGCCTAGGAGCCGACAGAGTAGGTGGGACCTTCGGGACGCTGGTGTTTGGTCTGCGAGTCACGTCCACAGACGTACAGGTCAAGCTGCCAACAGCAACAGGGCCCTGGGGCACTCACTGTATGACCCCGCACAAGTCACCCGCCTGCTCTGTGACAATCGACCAGAGACACTCGTAGAGGCGTAAGACACCTACACCCACAGGGGGCCCAGACAGGGCTCTCGATCCACGTGACCAGCTGTCCTTGGTAGTACTCAGCAAGTGAGGGCCCCACCCACTGGAGACCCTGCTCCTGGTCCACTTGAGGCCCACAGGATGACACTGTTTTAGTACAACTGAGTCCGCGTCTCACGCCCGGTGGCCCCATGCAGGATGCAGGTGAACACTGGGTGGTCCCGAGCAGTCCGCATGACTGGCTGCGGGTCAGACCATCCATTGTGATCCACGGGGTTACCACGGGCTGGCTGTCGGAAGGAGACCGCCAGGGCTTTCTGCCTAGTCTTTCTTAGTCTGGAAGCTCTGCTGACACATGTTTAGCATCACAGCAACATGCAAATCTCCTGTGACAGGCAGGTTGGTGGTTGCATACCAGACGCACCACCTGCGAAACAAACCTGCATCTCCCACATGGAAGGGGAGAAAGAGAGGCTCACAGCGCCCCCTCTCGGATGGTGTGAATCTAAATGAGGCCAGGAATGCCAAGCACTGGGGCCTGTCCCTGAAGCCACCCAGTAGGTTTATGTATGTTGTTGGTGTCAGCGGTCAGTTCCACTCATGGGGATCCCATGGACTGCAGAGTAGAACTACTCCATAGCGTTTTCAAGCAGACTGCAGGCCTTTCCTCTGAGATGTCCCTGGATGGGTTCAAACTACCAACCTTTGGTGTTGTGGTCAAGCACTTAACCATGTGTGCCACCCAGGGAGCCCAGGTTTCTCTGCAGCTCGGGAAGGGGCTCATTCCCAGCCCACAATGTCCCAAGCACCTCCCGATGCACCCCATTCTGAGACATCACGGCAGATGAATGAAGGGTAAGGCCCGCTTCTGCCCCCAGCAGCGTCCGCCCCCAGCAGCGGGCCCACCGGGACACGCAAGGGCACTCGCTCGGTCTGCCGCGCTCTCAGTTCTGGGCAACAGGAGCCAGGTAACCACCCAGCGGCCCCACCGTGACTACGGAGCCTTGGGGACGAATGTGCGTCAACCAGGCTCGTAGCAAGGGGCCTGGGGACTGCACCAGAGAAGCATATGCGGAGAAGCACGAACGGGGCGAGGGAGGGGCGGGGGCAGAAGCTGGACACGCAACAGATGAAGTAGTGCCGCTGACCATCCTGCTTTGTGGGGACCCAGAAGTCAGGGTGCGGAGAGTCAATGCCCAAACTCAGCTCCTCCGACACCGTCAGCCCGTCAGAACATCGTGACCTTCAAATCCAGGTCAATGCTGACGCAACCAGGGACGGCTGCCAATCCCAGGGTGAGGGCAGGGCAGGATGTGGGTGTGGCAGCCAGGAAGCACTTAGTGCCCCCCCACCGGCCTGAGCAGGACCTCTGGTAGTACAGTGCCTAAGGCACTTGACTGCTAACCAGAAGGCTGGCGGTTCAAACCCACCAGCCACTCCTCGGAAGGAAGGTTGGGCATTCCTACTTCCGTAGTGATACTGCCTCGGAAACCCAAGGAGGGGTTGCTATGAGTCGGGCCGACTGGATGGCAAACAACAACAACCGGCCTGAGCCGAGATTCCGGCAAGAGACGAATTGTCCTGGTTTCAGCCTCAGCGCGTGTGTGAACCACGGAGCCAGGAACCACCAGCTGAGTGTAGAACGCCCTCATGCCACCAGCAGAAACTCCGAACGCAGACCTCTCTGTGCCTTGACATCCCCAACTGTAAAATGGGCCACACTACTGGATGGAACCCCAGCCCCTTAAGTAGCCTTCCCTCCCTGGAAAACCATCCAGAAAAAGACTTCCCTCCCCTGGCTCTTCCAGCAACACCCAGAACATACTGCCCAACCAATCCGAGCCTCAGGATCACGCCAGGCACGCACTGCCTAACCAATCTGAGCCTGAGGATCTCACCAGACACGCACTGCGCAACCAATCCGAGCCCAGGATTGCGCAGGGGGGCGGGAAGCACTGGAGGAACACAAGGGCTCCGGAACCCGACCACCGCGGGTTTGGAGCCTGGCTCTGCTGCACGCAGCTGGGCCTGAACTGTCTGTGCCTCACCTTGTCCGTCTGCAGAGTGGGTTGCACCGACAGAACGTACCTCTTAGGATGGGTGAATGGAGGATTCGACACCTTAACTCATGCAAAGAGCTCAGAACTGACGAGTGTAACGTGCTCATCTTCGGCCACTGTCTGCAGCTCCCTGCAACGGTTACTTAAATAATGTCATGTTTTCTAACTTGCCGTATGTTTATAACCTTGTCTAAAACAAGGCTTGTGGGTGGATTTTCCCTGCTATGAAAATAGGAATACACAATCACTTTGGAAAATGACAAAATTCAAAGTGCAAGGTTAAAAGGTGCACCTAGGACCACCCGTAGACTCAGCAAGACCAACCCTAGGTAGACGGGTGCCCCGAGGAAGGGAGAGCGGGGAGGCCCAGAGAAACCGTCCACCCGTGCTCCTCGCAGCACTGTTCGCGGGAGCCAAGAGCCGGACACCACCAGCATGTCCCTCCTCAGAGGTGGACATGGGCACGCACAGACTACTACTCAGCCATAGGAGAAATGCAGGCCTGTTGCCACCACACAGATCAGCCCTGACAACATCCTGCTGATGACATGAGTCAGGCACAAAAGGACAGACGCTGTATGACCTCACTCTTAGCAAAGAAGCAGAGAGAGAAGCCAAAGATTGTAAGTGGTACCAGGAGTTGGGGGGAGGGAAAAGGACTTTTTGCTTGGGGAGCATGGGGTTTATTATGTTCGTGGTGTTGACGGATTTGGAAAAGGAGGGTGAGAACGGTAACACAACTAGATGCACATCATTGATGTCACTGAACCGCACGGGCAGAAATGGTTTAGACGGTGGCTGCCCTGGTATGCATGCATTTCCACCACCATAGAACTCAAAACAAAAAACAAAGGCCTGCAGAGTTAACATCACAGGAGCTGTTGGTTCCACAAGCTGGGCTCAGCCTCTGTGGACGGCCTCACATCCTATTCCCGGCGATTCACATGCCATCCCTGCAGCTCTGTGGGCCCTTTCCAGGCACAAACACATCCCACCCCTTCAGGGCCACTTACCTTAAACCTCTCGGTGGCGCCCTCGGTGATGCTGACCGTGAACTCGGCTATTTTGGGAGGACGCGCCTTGCCCTTCTTGCGGTCGGGTTCATACTCGGTCTTGGTTTTCACGACCACCTGGTCCAGAAATCAGAGAAGCCAGCAGTGAGCGGTACAGCCAGATGTGTGGACACACACATCACTCATCAACGGGGGGCCTGGGAGCCCTTTCATCAGGAAGTCACATTTACAGAGTGAGAACAGCTGCCAGTTACTGGCAATCCCCCAATGCCAGACTTCCAGAGACATGACCCTTGAGTGGTTTGCCCGGCAGCTTCAGGAGGGAATTGTAACTGAGGGCAGAGGAGTTAAGCTCACTGGCCAAAGTCACACAGCTAACAGGACGAGGACCCAGCCTGACGCCTGATTGCTAAGCCAGAGTTCCTTCCACCACTCAGAGCTGAATCCAGGACACTGGGAGGACGCACCGTGACATCTCATTGGTGTTTCTACACGAGAGTGAGGTGGGGTGCATGGCCTATTTCATACAAGGATGAGGCCTTAAGAGGAATGGTTTAGCAACATGTGGCAGTTCCATTTTCATCATGAGTTCTATAGAAGACTCCTGATCAAAAGGGGGAAAAGGTAGAACAGAACTTGAAATTCTCATGGACTCCAGACTTTCTGGAGGCAGTGAGGCTGAATGAACCCCTGAAAATACTGCCTTGAGATCATCTTTAAACTTTAAACTAAAAATGTCCCCTGAAGTCTTCTTCAAACCAAATACTTGCACTTAGCTGATAAAAGACTGTCTGCCTTAAGCACTGGGCTCTTTTAAGATCTATCTACATGGGATCAAGTGACCAGCGACCCGAAAGGTTAGACAGGAAACATGGGGGCAGGGAGTTAATGATAAGGGAGGAGGAGCAAACTCAAAGAAGGAGGGTCACACAACTCGAAGACATGGGTGTCACTGGATAGCACAGGCAGAAACTGTTGAATTGGTGCACGTTTTGTTGTCCATCCTCTCAAAAATAACAAACTATTCAAAATATAAATATAAAATAATTTTGACAAATGTGGCGTGGTTGTGTGCCATTGAAGTTGATTTCAACACATCACACCCTACAGAACAGTGTACAGAACTGCCCTATAGGGTTTCCAGGGAGCCCTGGTGGCACAGCGCCTAAGGCACCTGACTGCTAACCAGAGGGTTGGTGGTTCAAACCCATCAGCCACTTCCTGGAGGGAAGATGGGGCAATCTACTTCCATAGCAATACTGCCTCAGACACCCAAGGAGTGGTTGCCCTGAGTCGGAACTGACTTGATGGCAGTGAGTTTGCTTTGGTTTGATGGGGTTTCCAAGGTGACTTGATGGCAGTGGGTGTTCATCTTGACAAGGTCTTTCCTCCCATGAAGCAACTGGTAAGTTCAAACCACCTGCCTTTCAGTTAGCAGCCAAACACTTAACCATCAGGCAACCTGGGCTCCTTTTCAAAATGCAGTGCCGACATACAGTGGAGTATTACAGAGCTGTACACAGAAATGAAGTCTTGATCCATGCTACTACACAGAGGAACCCTGAATACACCCCACTGAGTGAAGAAAGGCGGTCACAGACAGACAAAGGCTGTGTGCCCTCACTTTTATGAATTAAGCAAGTGTATGGAACCCAGGGATTAGTTGTGACCAGGGTGGAAGAGGGGAAGAGAGGAGCGTTGTTGTTTGGGGGACGTTGGTTTATGTTAATGGTGGTGGAATATTTTGGAAAAGAAGGGCAAGTGTGAACACCCAACAGGAGCAGTATAACCGACATCACTGAACTGTCGATGCGGAAGTGGTGTTGGCGGACGTTCTGATGTGTATGTTTTCACAAGAAAAAAGATGAAATAAAAAAAGAGCGTGGCGTAGGAGCAGGGAGCCAGAGAAAACAGGAACCAGCTCACGGTTCCTGTCCTCAGCTCCACTCCCGCCATCCTCTCTCAAGAGCCCTCCTGCCCCCTCACCTGCTGCTGAGACACCCCCAGAGGGTTCCCTGTGCTCCCCTTCCCTCCTCAGCTGCCAAGGGGGAGAGGTTTTTCCAACCTGGAAGCCTGCCCTCGCAGGGCCTGTGTGTCCTCACTGGGCCCCAGCTTGGGATGCAGCCCCAAGTGCCCTTCAAGGCTCACCCGCTCCCAGCCCCTCCTCATCAGGCACTGCCTGGATCATCCTGTTGCCAGGGATGTTAACTTCTCAGTCTCCCCTGGGGTGGAAGGCCCTGGAGGGCAGTGTCCAGGGGTTACGCAGCCCTGATCCCTTGGCCCCGTGGGGGTGGGTGCAGGGACCGTGCCAGGAGTGGTAGTGGGCTGGAGGGACCCAGCATCCACGCTGCTTCACCCTGGGCGACAGAGCCCTCAACTGGAGGGGCTCCCAGTCTGGGGGAGATGCTCCCTGTGATGATGGGACCCAGGACTGAACAGGGAGGAGCTAGCATGGCAGGATGGGCAGCCCTGGGCGGGCACCGGAGGGGCTGGGCTGTGGCCCCATTTTGCCTTCTGTGGTGCTTGGCCAAGAATGAGCTCCCAGAAGGTCAACATCCTACCTTGTTCCCCAACTGATGTAGCTGCTTGCCCCCTTAGAAGCCACCCAAACCTTCCTCCTACCCAGATGCGGGAGCTCTGGTAGCACAGTGCCTAAAGCACTTGACTGCTAACCAGAAGGCTGGCAGTTCAAACCCACCAGCCACTCCTCGGAAGGAAGGCTGGGCAATCCACTTCAGTAGTGATACCGCCTTGGAAATCCAAGGAGGGGTGGCTCTGAGTCGGTCCTACTCAACAGCACATAACAACACCACCACCCAGATGCGGCTGGAACTCCGCCCCTTCAGCAGCCGCCCCTCCCTGGAGGACCACCCAGAACAAAGCTTCACTCCCCCAGCCCCTTCCACCAACACCATCTACAGCGCCCAGCGCCCAACCAATCGGAGCCTCAGGATTGGGCCAGGAGGCAGGAAACTGGGGAGGGACACACTGGCTGGGGAACCAGACCCCCCTGGGTTTGGAGCCTGGCTCTGCCCACATACAGCTGTGTCAGCCCTGTGCCTCACCCTGTGCATCTGAAGGGTGGGCTGCCCCGGCAGAATCTACATCTCAGGATGGGTGGCTGCGAGGATGCTACCCCTTAACACATGCAAAGAACTCAGAACTGTGGCTGGCGCATAACTGGGAAGGAACCGGAAGAGAACGTGGTCCGTGTCCAGTGTCAGTGAGAATTACTCTCAGAGCCACATACCTGGTGAGCACGTATTACTTCCCTCCCCCTCGTTTCTCAACATGCCCACCACGGACAGGGAGGGGTGCTAGAGCGTGAGTCATCCGCAGCACCCCGCGGGAGGGGCTGTCTATCCAGGCAGTGCCGCTCGGTCAGTCGTCACACTGCCGTCCTCACATCCCAACTGTTCCCACCTCAACGGGTGACCTTGAGCTCGCACCTGGCCGTGCTGAGCCCAGGGCTCCTTGCCCACAAAATGGACACAGTAAGGCCTATCTCATCAACAACTGAGAACCAGGGAGTCCACAGCGCTCTCAGCCCGTGTCTGGACCTGGTCTACATACATCACCCCGGGTTTGATCCGTGTGGGCCACTAGCAGGCTGGGTGACCTTGGGCAAGTCCCTTAACCTTCCTGTGCCTCTGTTTTCACAGCTGTAAATGAGGAGAGTGACGGCAGTCATCGTCGGACGACAGGAGCTGGTCAGACCTTTGTTGTTGGAGCTCCCGCCCCGTCGGCCTGGCTCTGACTCACAGTGACCGTGTGCACAACAGAACAAACACTGCCCGGTCCTGCGCCGCTCCCGTGACCCCTTGCAGATCTCCAGACCTTTCTTCCTCATCATCTTAGTCTGGAAGCTGCACACAGGCCTCCGCAGGCAGAAGGGGTGGCTGCCCATGAGGAGCACCAGCTGGGACTAGATCCCTGGTCTCCTGTGTGGAAGGCGAGAATTCTACCCCTGCCCACCACTGCCCCGAGCCAGAGCATAAAAATTAAAAAAAAAAACTCACTGCTGTAGAGTCAGATCCGACTCATAGTGACCCCTCCTTGGGTTTCCGAGGCAGCATCACAACGGAAGTAGATTGTCCAGTCTTCCTTCCAAGGAGTGGCTGGTGGGTTTGAACTGCCAGCCTTCCGGTTAGCAGTCAAGCATTTAAACTTGTAAAGTGTGTACACTGAGCAGCCTGTTGCTCACACAGCGGCTGGCTCCACGTCCACCGCCCCGAAGGTGCTGCCAGCGCCTCCAGACACGTTCTTGGAATGCTTTCTGATTACCGTCCTAGCTGCATCACTGGCCTGCCTCGGTCGCCCCGTATCCCAGGCAGGTGACATCACTTCCCAGAAGCCCGGTTGAAAGCAACGCCTGCCTGGTGTCCACGTTCAGAGAGGTCTTGTAGGTCAGATGTCTGGTTCAAAGCAGGGCAGCTCAAGAGGCAATGCCAGGAGCATCTCCATTGGGGACGACTGTCACCTTCAGCTAAGTGACCTTGGACATGTCCTGGAAACTCTTTGGAATGTAGTTTACTCATCTGTCAACTCTTCTAGCCCAACCATTGACCCCTGCTGGAATTCCCTCCTCTAAAGCATCCCTAGTTAAATAGTTAAGGGATTGGCTGGTAACCGAAAGGTCAGCGGTTCAAATCCAGCAGCCTCTCTGCAAGAACAATGTGCTGCGTTAAAGATGACAGCCTAGAAAACCCAATGAGGCAGTTGTACTCCGTCACATGGGGTTACTAGAAGGGGAAAGTGACTCAACGGTACGCAACAGAAAAGCATCCCTGCCAGGCAGCCACCCTTTCTTTGAATGCCTCCAGGGATGGGAGACTCATTACTTCCCAGGGCTGCCTACAGTACTCCTGGACAGCCTGACCGGTTAGCCAGGTGTCACACCTGCCTGACATCCTCCTCCTTGGTATAAGCCAAACTGGGTGCCGGACCGGGAGCGGAACAGGCAGAGGGCAAACGGAGGAGGCTCAGGCTGAGCAGGGAATCACCTCAGCAGGTTCAGCCTAGGGACACAGAGCTCCTGGCACAGGCCACCTCTCCTCGGCTGGCGGAGCAGCTAGGACTGGGAGAGCTGGGAAGGGAAGGGTTCCTCCCGACAAGCCCAGCTTGGACACTCAGCACCCACAGTGGCCCTTCTCTGAGCTCCAACACGAGGCTGCCACGGTGCCCCCACCCCCATACCCAAAACACAGACAACGGAGTTGGGGGATGACAACCACTTTGGGAAGCTCAAGTGCCTTTCACAGGGTCCACGTTGGGAATAAGAGAACTCAAAGCCCACCGACAGGGCCCTCGAATGGCCCCTCTCATGCTCGTCCTTGCCCGTGCAGCCTCTTCACCAGGGACCAAGTGAGACAGTAAACACAAACGCACTTCAAGAAGCAAAGAGCACACTGGCGGCCAGGGTGGTCTTTAAGAAGGTGTAAGGTGGCGGGAAGGGATGCTGTGTTTATTTCAGGTTTGGACCCAGTCCTCTAGACTTTTACACACTGCATTTACCTTTCAGCGTTCTAAATACCGTTCTTAAAAGACAGGAAGTCCCTGACTGGGTGCTGTATTCGAGAAAACAGGGGCTTCTTTAAATTCAACCAAAACATACTGGGGGGAGACGACTCCTGGCGCTCACGGTACCTGATGCTCAGGTGAGGGCGGGTCTCCTTGGAGATTTCACCAGAGGAACAAAGAGAGGAAGGAGCTCCAGTGAAGAAAGGCGCGTGCGCACGCCAGCACCCCGTGCCAGTCTGGCCAGGGGCATTAGAAAGGGGATGGAGGCCACGAAGACCTCCAAGAAGGGGCCATCTCGCCGAGGAGACGGCCTTCCCCCCTAGAACCAGCAAATGGGCTTGAAGGTGCACCTTCGCAGGGCACAGACGGGGCATCCGGGCAGACCCTGGGACCTCCCCGACACAGAGCCCACTGGTAGGATGGGCAGGGCTAGGGGCAGGAAGAAGGGGGTCAGAAGGTGCCAGCTGGGGCGCTGGGACTTGGCTTAGACAAGACTCCCACTAACATCAAGAAGGGCTCTCTCTCAGAGCGCGCTCCATTGTCAGGGGAAAGCCGTCCCCCAGGGGAGGGGGCCCCCCATCACCCAATCCAGGAGGACGCTGTCTCCCGCGCCCGCCCGTTCTGCGCAGCCCCGCTCGCGGCCCCCGCGCACGCGGCGCGCTTTCTTTGTTGCCGCCGCCGCCGCCCGAGATTTGGGGTGCACACCCTGTCGCGCGGGACTGCGGTGGGGCCAGGTCGCCGGGGTGCCCCTTACCTTATCCGGGGGCGGGAACTGCAGCTGATTGACATCCAGGGGCGTCATCAGCGGGATGGTGTCGAAGCCATCCTCCAGCAGCGCCTGCTTGGTGCCTTTCTCCGCGAAATTGTTCCCCAACTTCACCATTGTGCCAGGAGACCGAGGTTGTCGCCTGCGGAACGCAGGGCCGCAGGCGTCACCGCGCGCGGAATCTGCACCCTCCCGCCGCCCGGGGAGGGGGCTTGCCCGCACCCTCTCCCGCCCCCTGCGTCCCCAGGTCGTCCGCGCGCTCGCCGGCCGCGTCTCGCTGCGGAGGGTCCTGAGGACGCTGCGGGCACAGCCCGATGGGGGTGTCGGGGGTGCTCTGTGTGTACCGATCGCACCTCGCCGCCTGAAGCGCCAGCGCAGGAGCGCCCGCGGCTGGGGGAGGGGCACCGCCCTTGCCCGGCCGGGGTAAACGCGTCCTTAGCCTTGGGGCCACGGCCAGCCGCCGCCGGAGGCGATGCGCGGCCCCTCCCAGCGCCCCGGCCCGGCCCCGGCCCCGGCTCTCACCCTCGCGTCTAGCAGGTCTGACGAGCGCTCGGAGCTCCGCGTCGCCCTCTCTGAGCGCAGCAATGGCGAAGGCGGTGCCGGGCTG